CACAACAAGCTCCAACGTAGCTTTAAGGATTAGCACATTAGCAAACATTACTCATACGACACGTAATCGAAGTGGAAATTGATGTGAAGCATGTTGAGTGGATACGTAATTGCATAAATTGTCAACAAAAAACCTAACGAAACGCAATGCCTGCTAATGGCCCCAATCAATCAAAGATATAGAGATACAGACAATACCAAGCAATAGGAGGGATAATTTGCGACAGCGCCAAAACCCCTTCAGATAATAGATAGATAATTAATGCATTATGATATTCTCCGAGTCCATTATTATTGAATGGCAGTCAACGATTCAGTTCACTGATTAAATGATGGCCCGGCCAAAGTATCAATACAACGACAATAGCTGCCTGGCTAGATGCGACGATGCGACGATGCTACTTCAGCAAATTGGCAAATCAACAATGCTCAAGTGTCTGCAAACAATGGCCTTACATCACACAGAGCGGAGCGCAGTCAGCCGTTGATGTTTATCAGGACACGCCCCAGCGAAATCCACTCAAGTTCCAAGCGATAATAACGATAAATAAAACAACGCGAGAGCGCGGGGCCATCTTAAAGCCACGTTCCGTGTATTGCTCTTGTGCGTTACGTGTTCCGTTACGTTTTGGGCTATAGCGGCAGCCTCCGCTCTGACCCATAGTGTTAAGCAACAACGAAATTTGCCTGCCAATGACGTCAGAGACGGCAAGGACCGTAAATTTGTAAGTGCTTGTGCCTGGGAGCCAGCTTGGCTGGCCTGGCCTGGCCCAATGTTTGGCCATTTTGCTGGGCCACCTGCGTCCGATATTTTTGGACGCCTTCGCATAAAGCGGAAACACTTCACACTGTAAAATTTCACGCCACAAATAAGAACGAACGAACGAAAGAACTCAAGTAAGCGAGGCAAAAAGAAAAGAGCCAGAAAAACAAAAAAAAATAAAAGAAACAACACTGAAACAACATTTATCCAAAGGAGCGCATGCTGAAGCTGGCCATGCATGCAAAACGAGTCAAAATGTACGTCATGTGCATACTTAAGTAACGCTCGTGGAGGTAATTCGAAACGAGGCCGGACAGCAGGAGGAGGACGAGGAGGAGGAGGAGCAGGAGCGGGACGAGAGGTCGTTCAGGCTGTGCGGCTCTGCTGCGAGTGCTAACAATAATTTCATTAAGCCCAATGGCATCATTAAAATATGCCAAACAATCATAATGTGCCCAGTTTTGGGACTTGAGGGGAGGGCTGTTCGAGCTAAGCTAGCCCCAAAAAGTATGCAAGGGCAAAATGTAAATGTGTTGATTTGCTAGCTACAACAACAACAACAACAACAATGACGACGACGAGTTTAAATGGCAGCGCATTTGCAGGCGACAGCTTGGCCAACAAAATTTGTCGATTTTGGGCATTTGATTTGCACACACACACACACGCACAGCACACAAAGAGAAAGCAGCAAGAGAGTGAGAGAGAGGGAGAGAGAAAGGGAGAGTCTCGCTCGCATGAGAGCAAGAGCAAATGGTGCGCCCTGCAGCGTCTTGGCAACACACTGACACACATACACACACACACACAGAGAGAGAGGAGAAACATACACGTTGTGTGTGTTAGCCTGGTCAAGTATCAAGTATTTGGGCATCTTTTTTGGCCTAGACAGCTCTCGGGCTGGTAATGCAGGCAGGCGACGGCGTCATCAACGCTTGGATGAAGTGCAAATGCCTGCTAGGGTCAAGTTTGGTGTGAGAAGGCCGCTAACACACACACACAGAGAAGGAGAATGAGAAGGAGAGAGAGAGAGCGAGAGAGTGAGAGATGCTGATGTTTTCTTTCATTTTTATCAATTTTGTTGCCTTTGCCGCCTTTCAGTCTGTCTGTCTTGCATGTGTGTATGTGTATGTGTGTGTGTGTGTTTGTTTGTTTGTGTCTGCTGTGGCACAGCAGCCGAAATAACGAATCAGCGAAGCAAATGAAAATCAATGATTCGATTTTGCTGCTGCTCGAGCTGAAACTGAAGCCAACGACGACGATGACGATGAGGTGCGACGCCAACATCAACCGGATTCACAGTCGCAGCCCAGGAATTTGATTAAGTGACAAATGTAAAACATGACACATGCCTTGCGGGTAAAGCCCCAAATTGAAGGGCGACCACGCATTCTCCTCTCCTCTGCCCGCAAATCAATTCGCTGCTAACGACAATTGACGAGCTGACGACCTGACGACCTAATATCTTAAGT